GTTCTTTTGCATTTGCTGAGGAGTGATTTACTCCCAATTATGTGGTCAATTTTAGAGTAGGTGTGATGTGGTGCTGAGAAGAATGTATATTCTGTGGATTTGGGGTGGAGAGTTCTGTAAATGTCTATTAGGTTTGCTTGGTCCAGGTCTGAGTTCAAGTCCTGGATATCCTTGTTAATTTTCTGTCTGGTTGATCTGTCTAATGTTGACAATGGGGTGTTAAAGTCTCCCACTATTATTGTGTGGGAGTCTAAGTCCCTTTGTAAGTCATTAAGAACTTGCCTTATGTATCTGGGTGCTCCTGTATTGGGTGCGTATATATTTAGGATCGTTAGCTCTTCTTGTTGCATTGATCCTTTTACCATTATGTAATGTCCCTCTTTGTCTCTTATGATCTTTGTTGCTTTAAAGTCTAATTTATCAGAGATGAGAATTGCAACTCCTGCTTTTTTTTGCTCTCCATTTGCTTGGTAAATCTTCCTCCATCCCTTTATTTTGAGCCTTTGTGTATCCTTGCATGTGAGATGGGTTTCCTGGATACAGCACACTGATGGGTTTTGTCTTTTTATCCAATTTGTCAGTCTGTGTCTTTTGATTGGGGCATTTAGTCCATTTACATTTAGGGTTAATATTGTTATGTGTGAATTTGATACTGCCATTTTGGTGCTAGCTGGCTGTTTTGCCCTTTAGTTGAGCTGGTACTTGTTGTTCCTTTATATGTGTAGAGCCTCTTTCAGGAGGTCTTGTAGAGCTGGCCTGGTGGTGACGAAATCTCTGAGTACTTGCATGTTCCCAAAGGATTTTATTTTTCCTTCACTTATGAAGCTTAGTTTGGCTGGATAGGAGATTCTGGGTTGAAAGTTCTTTTCTTTAAGGATGTTGAATATTGGCCCCCATTCTCTTCTGGCTTGTAGGGTTTCTGCTGAGAGATCTGCTGTGAGTCTGATGGGCTTCCCTTTGTGGGAAACCCGACCTTTCTCTCTGGCTGCCCTTAGTATTTTCTCCTTCATTTCGACCCTGGTGAATCTGACGATTATGTGCCTTGGGGTTGCTCTTCTTGACGAATATCTTTGTGGTGTTCTCTGTATTTCCTGGACTTGAATGTTTGCCTGCCTTGCTAGGTTGGGGAAGTTTTCCTGGATAATATCCTGCAGAGTATTTTCCAGCTTGGATTCATTCTCTTCGTCGCATTCGGGTACGCCTATCAAACGTAGATTAGGTCTTTTCACATAGTCCCCCATTTCTTGGAGACTTTGTTCGTTCCTTTTTACCCTTTTTTCTCCAGTCTTGCCTTCCCGTTTTATTTCATTGAGTTGATCTTCGACCTCTGATATCCTTTCTTCTGCTTGGTCAAGTCGGCTGTTGATACTTGTGCATGCTTCACGAAGTTCTCGTGTTGCAGTTTTCAGCTCCATCAATTCACTTATATTCCTTTCTATTTTGTCTATTCTTGTTAGCATTTCGTCAAATCTTTTTTCAAGGTTCTTAGTTTCTTTGCATTTGGTTAGAACATGTTCTTTAAGTTCACAGAAGTTTCTTACTACCCACCTTCTGAATTCTGATTCTGTCATTTCATCACACTCATTTTCCATCCAACCTTGTTCCCTTGCTGGCGAGGAGTTGTGATCCCTTTTAGGAGGAGAGGTGTTCTGGTTTCGGGTGTTTTCATCCTTTTTGTGCCGGTTTCTTCCCATCCTTAAGGATTTATCCACCTGTCGACTTTGTAGTTGCTGGCTTTCAGATTGGGTCTCAAATCTTTCAGATTGACGTTCTGTTTGTTGATGATGAGGTTATTTCTGCTTCTTGGTTTTCCTTCTGACAGTCTGGCCCCTCTGCTGTAGGTCTGCTGAGGTTCACTCCAGGCCCTGCTTGCCTGGGGTTCACCTGCAGCAGCTGTTGAACAGCAAGGGTTTTTACCAGTTTTCTTCTTCTTCTATCTTTGTCCCAGAAGGATACCCGCCTAGTGTCAATCTGATCTCTCCTCTATGAGGTGTCTTTTTGGATATATAGGGGTCAGGGAGCTGCTTGAGGAGACGGTCTTTTCTTTATAGGAGCTCAAATGGTGAGCTGTGAGCTCTGTTGTTGTTCATTCAGAGCTGCTGGGCAGGTACTTTTAGGTCTGCTGCAGCAGAACTCATAAACTGCTTTTCGTTCCCAGGTGCTCTGTCCCAGGGATTTAGGGCTTTATTTATGAGTTTCCGTTATGCTGCTGCCTTCTTTTTTTTTTTTTTTTTCTTTTTTTCCTTCAGACCTGCCCAGCCCAGCAAGGAGGCAGCCTAGTCACTGTCGGCCTATAGCAGCTTTGTTGAGCTGCTGTGGGCTGCACCCCGCTGCCGAGTGAACTTCCCTGCAGTCCTGTTTATATGGGTGTAGTTAGAACTGCTTTGGCGATGGTGGCCCGCCTCTGTTAGGGCGGAGTCTCTGCTGTGGCGTGTTGCCTTGGCAACGGCGGGCTGCCTCAGCAATGGCGGGTTTCCTTGGCAACGGCGGGCTGCCGCGGTAATGGCGGACGCCCCTCCCCCACAGAGCTGGACTGTCCTGGGTTCAGCTGCGCTCGCTGTGAAATTCTCAATCCTGAGTTTCTGGTTGCTGTTCTTTTATGGGGGTGGGGCCAGCCGAGCCTGATCGCCTGGCTCCCTGCCTCAGAGCCTTTTTTAAGTTGGTGTTCCAGTCGCCTGTTGAAGAGGCGCCGGGGTGTGTTTGTTTTCCCCTGCGGCCACTCACTGCGCTGGCTTAAACAGCGGCACTGAGGTATGTGGCGCTTTTTTTTCTTTTTTTTTTTTTGCCCTGGAATCTACTGTCCTGGTTCTCTGCTCAGTCCCCTTTTTGAACCAGCATATGGGCGACTTCCCGTGGCTCCAATCGCCAGCCAAAAGGGCACCCGGACCGGTGTATTTTGTACGGAGAACCGCGGCTCCGGGGCGCCGACAAAGCAGCCGCGCGGGGCTGAGCAGCGGCGCCGGCCGGCACAGCAGCGCTGGCCACAACAGCCGCGCTGGCGAGCGTGGAGCACCTCTGCCCGGGAATTTCCTAGTCTGTGGGCAATAAAAACGCGGCGTCCACTCACCCTCTGCGCTTTCACTGGGAGCTGCAGTCCTGAGCTGTTCCTAAACGGCCATCTTGGATCTCCTCCGACCATATTTTTCTTTTTAAATAGAAGCAGTTTCGTATACTGAACAAATACAACCAATTTCAGCTGGTAATACTTTATTCATTAGAATACAAAACCATATTCTACTATAAAATTAAAACATTAAATTATAAATTCAGGCCACTTCTAAATACATTTCCATTTTACTTGAGAAATTATTTATTCTAGCTTTGACCAATAACGTGCAGATTGTTCATATGATTGCCTGCATATTTGCTGGCAAAGCTTATTCTCTTTATGCCTGCACTAAAGTTGTATATCTTATCCATAAATAATAACCAAGGAGAAACTGACTATATTCTACCACAAATCTTTTAATCTCCCTGATGATACATTATATTTAAGAATTTATGGTGTGTTTATTTTCACAAATTCAGACCTGGTTGAGAATTTAATAAATATGCTTACCTGTGAAATCACAGATATGTCAAACTTTCCAGTTAAGGAAACAGTATACACACTAGGAAAGGAATCAGGAATGCTAAACATTGGATTTGCTTCTGTCAAAACTCAAATAATCTGCTCATCACTGGTTTTGACCCTTTGGGAAATACTTTGTTCTAATATGGCAAAATTACGGATTAGCATTTTTAATCTGTCATCAATAGAGAAAGATGAAAATCAATAACGAATTTACTTTGGACCCTAACTGTTACTCTAGTTTCCATTTTCAGGTTACTTGTGTTTAAAATAGTATCTAAATACATTTAAACATATCAATCCCCCAATAGGATTCATCTTTATTGATCTAGGAAATTACTGGAATAATGTATTTTAGTACCATAGATATGATATAGCTAGTTTGTAACCTCCACAGTTATTAGAGCCAACTGGTCCTCCTGAGAGGTTTTGTAGTATTTTATATTTGTATCTTCAGCATTTAACATTGTCCCTGAACAAATGAAGGTACCCAGCAAATGTTTCTTATAAATGAGTAAATAAAATGAAAATACTAAAACAGAATGTTTTCTCTTCCCTAGCAAGCTCTCCATGCCCAGGTAAGATTATTTATTAAAACTAAAATATTTTAGTATTTCTTTCATGTGTTATGTTTTTATAATGCATGCTTCTTTTTTAAACAGAAATATATTCCAAGAGAGAGAGTGTTCTACCAACCCTGTCTGGTAAAATTTCATTTAAAATTTGCCAAATATAAAATTTAAATAATTAATTAATAGCCATGAATAGAAAACACATAGTCCTAAAGAAGTGGTAGGCTATTATTTTCCTCAAAGTATGAATCTTACACATTGTTTATTTTCCCAAACTATAAAGAGGTTAGCCCTTAGCTAAAACTTTTTTCTAACGTTAGAAAATAAAAAGGGTTTTGATATTTTTTGCTAATCTTCGCATAGAATACAGCCTAATCTAAATTTCATGAATGATGTTATGTATACTCCTGGTACAATGTAAGATAAATGTGTTGTACCAGAAGATGTCTAAGTAATTTAGAATGCATTTCCTTTTATGCAGGAGCAGACTTGCAGAATGAGTGAAAACAACCATGTCCAAGTGGTAATATTTGTTTAATATATTACAAAACAATAATATTTTGTTAAGTTTAAATATGTTTGCTCTTAAGTAGCCCCCTACTCTTGAAGAGAATTTTTCTTCTCAATCATTTCTCTCTCCCAACTTAAATCTCAGTTCTGACAACATCTAATCACATGACCTTGAGCACGCTGTGTATTCTCTTGGACCTTTCTTTTCTCATTTGTGGAGAAAAATAGTATGTGTCTATCAATTTATTTCCTCCTCCAAAACTCC